GTTGTGCAAAGTCACCAGCCTCACTTTCACCTCTGGAGCCATCTGTGTCTAGTGTCCAGATATGGATCAGGACAACTGGAGTTGGCCCAGGATTCGGTGGGGGACATTGGCCTTTGCAAGCTAAGATCTTTAACAGCAGTCTGACTGAGGCAGCACCCGTTCAGTGATTAAGGCTTATTAAAAAATGAGGCAAAGAATGGCCTCTTAAAAAAAATAGATCTGGGGGCAACTAGGTGGCACAGTGGATAAAGCACTGGCCCTGAAGTCAGGAGGACTTGAGTTCAAATCCGGCCTCAGACCAAACACTTAACACCTACTAGCTGTGTAACCCTGGGCAAGTCACTAAACCCCAAATTGCCTAAAAAACAATTTTTTAAGAAAAATAGATCTGGGAGGGGAAGACCCTCAGGGTTTCTGGACAAAATAGAAACAATTGTTATTCACATTCATTCTGAGCCAATCAGGGCCCAAACCATGACCAAGTGGGGTTTGGACTGGGACCTATTATTGACCAATCAGTGAGAGCCTGAATGATTTGGTATTAAGGCTGATCTTTTAGAGAAAAAACAAAACAAACAAAAAACCTGTTACAATGTTCTAGAAACCATAGAATAGTGGAAAGAACACAGGATTTGGAGTCAGAGAACTTGTTTTGAAATTGCAGCTCAGCTTCCTATCATTACAATCCTAGACTACTTTACCTCTCTAGGAGTCAGTTTCCTCATCTATAAACATGAAGGCATTGGACTAAATAATAATAATAGCTAACATACATACATATATATATACATATCCCTTTAGAGTTTGCAAAGCATCATATGTATGATTATGTTATATATGTAATACAATATGTTAATTATACATTTTATATTAATACGCTAATAATGCATATAATTAGATTGCATATATAATCTCATTTTCTCTTTCTAACAACCCTTACAGGAAGGTGAAATTATTTCCTTCATTTTATAAATGAAGAAACTGAGGCTAAGAGAGTTTAGATGACTTGTTCAGGATCAAGTAGCTAAGGAAGAATCTGTAACAGGATTCAAACTCAGATTTTCCTGACTAGAAGTCAGAAGTTCTATCTGCAATGAAGCAGTGAGGTGGAACAATGGATATAATGCTGGACCCGGAGTCAGGAAGACTGGATTTCAAATCCAGCCCCAGAGACTTGAAAGCTGTGTGACCTTGGGCAGGTCACTTAACTTTTGTCTGACTTAACTGCTGTTTCCTCATCTATAAAATAGGGATAATAATACCTGCCTCCCAAGGCTGTTGTGAGGCTAAAATGAGATAACATGTGTAAAGCACTTTACAAACCTTAAAGTACTATGCTGATGATGATTATGATGATGATGATGATTGATGATGATGATGATGATGACAACGACGATGATGATGATGCTACCTCCGGCAATCTTTTCTAGATGATCTCTGAGGTCTCTTCTAGCTCTAACTCTCTAATCCTCTGATTCTAAATCCTGTCCAATAAGCTTATCTTTCTAAATCTCACAGTCTAAGTTTCTTCTGTAGTCAGCTGATTTCCTTTCAGGGGAATCAAAGCAAGGTGTCCTGGGGACTCCAATCTCTATCTCCGTACCTAGCCTTGGTCCGTGCACAGAAAAAAAAATATCATTTCCTTTTCCTTACTCACTAAATAATAATGCAGCAAAATTAAATTTTGCAAAATGAACATTTGGTTTATTTGTAGAATAAATGTGTGGTAACAAAAAAAAACCAACACCAAAACACATGATTGAGGCAGGGAATTGCTAACTACTTGCAATTATTTCTAGTGGTTGCACATCAAATAAGAGAAGACCTCATAAGGTGGATATAATGAGGAGGAATGGGATGAAATTAAGTGAAGAGAAATTTAGACTGTATACCAAAATAAAATTTCTTCACAGCAAGGTCAGTGATGCTATAGTCATTCTGGGGAAATGGCTGACCCCCTGCTAAGGGCTGAATAATTTTCCAACTAGCTTAAGTAGAGCATTTAGGAATTTAAGGTTGGAAAGAACTCCTTCCTTGCCTGAGAAATGGGTGAGGCAATGGTAATAGATCACTTACAGTTCTGGGGTTAAGCACCCATGCTCTCCAAGATGCCTTCCAGTTGTTTTATTGTCAAGTCTTTTCAATACCCCCTTTGAGGTCCATCAGCATCTTAATTTCCACTTTGTATATAAAAAAGGGGGAAGCTAGGTGGTGCAGTGGATAGAGCACCAGAACTGCCTCAGATATTTAATAGCTATGTGACCCTGGACAAGTCTCTTCACTCTGTTTGCCTCCGTTTCCTCATCTGTCAAATGAGCTGGATAAAGAAATGCCAAACTACTCCAGTATCTTTGCCTAGAAAACCTCAAATGGAGTCACAAAGAGTCAGACACCACTGAAATGACTGAACAACAATATTAAAAAAAAAAAAAACTTTAGACTCACAAAGTGAAAGGTCTTACCTAAAAATCACCCAGAAAGTTAATAGCCTGTCTTTGCATTGCCCTAGGATAGGTACCTTTTAAATAAGAGTAATAGTTCACATCTCTACAGAACCACTGAGTTTACAGTTGAAAGGGACCTAGAGTAACATGTTTGTTTGCATGGGATCATATTTAGAACTGGAAGGTACCTTAAAATGTCACCTAGCCAAGTCTTTGCACTTACCAATGAGTAAACTGAAGCCCCAAGAAATTAAGTCACTTGCCTGAGATCACGCAGGAAATAAGCGAGAGGCAAGATTTGAAGCCTGATTTGGTGACTCTTATTTCAGCACTTTCTACTATGTCCTGCGTCTTTCTTAGGCTAATCCCCCCCAGACTTGGGATCAAATGACCTTGGTTTGAATCCCGGCTCCCTGCTTTACAGATGAAGAAACTGAGGCTCAGAGACATTAAGTGATTTGTTCAATCATTTCAGCCGTGTTGGACTCTTTGTGACTCCATTTGGGGTTTTCTTGACAAAGATACTGGAGTGGTTTGGTATTTCCTTCTCCAGCTCATTTTACAGATGAGGAAACTGAGGCCAATAGGGTAAAGTGACTTGCCCAGGGCCACATAGCTAATAAGTGTCTGAGGCTGGATTTGAACACAGGAAGAAGAGTCTTCCCGACTCCAGGTCTAGCAGTCTATCCACTGTGACACCTAGCTATCTCACTTTTGTTCTATTTGATGCTAAATAATAGGGTAGAATGAATTTTTCCACTGAATTTGTCACTTAGTACATTGTAGTCATAGACACACTGACTGATTTCTGGACTCCACAGATTTCACAGGACAAACTGCATCAAATGTCAACCATAAAGCTCAGTCAACAATGAACATTTAAAATTAATTGTTCAGCTTTCACTTTTTCATCTTCCTGTTTGCCTTCTATATTGTCATGCCTCTGATCCCAATCATTGGATCCCAGAAGAAATAAACGATGCAATGACCAAGCAAGCTTTCAGAGCACCCTTGATGAAGCATCTCCTCACAGAGAGATGACAGTCTCAAGAAACAGAACGACCCCTACATCTTGGGCCATAATCAACGTGAGAATTTGCTTTGCTTGTCTATGCATATGTTTTTAAAGGGTTTTGTTTTTCTTTTTTCCCCAATTGAGTGGAATGAGAAAGAGAGAAAATAAATATTTTTAATAGCAAAAAACAAAATTAAATTTTAAAAAGATATTTGTATGTGAGTAGATGAGTTCCTTCCCCCAGACTATTACTATATACTTCTGCTGGACTTGAAATAGTCATCCAAGTCTCATGTTAAAGAAATATTGATGAACAAATGCAAAGAAAATAGTGGAAAAACATTATCAAAGGTCCATATTACTTAAAAGGCAATATTTGTTTGGATAGAGTAGGGAGAGTGGGAGAGAACAGATTAGCCTGTTCTATCACAGTCCTGTTCTTGAAATTTTTTGCATTTCTATTGAGACTAAAGCCTATATTGTTGTATCCTTACCTAATTATTGACAAAAAATGATATCAGAGTATCATTCTTTTAGTATGTCTCTATAGGACAAGAGCTCTTAGTCATTTTTTATGTCATGGACCCCTTTGGAAATCTGGTGAAGCCTAGAGATCCCTTCTCAGAATCATGTTTTTATGTGTATAAAATAAGAAAAAAGGAAACTAATTATATTGAAATACAGCTATCAAAAAAATTTTAAATAAGTTCGTATCTACCCTTCCCCTTAAGAATCCTTGCCTCAGGACAATGATGAGCCCTCTTCAGCATCCCCAAAGAGAGTCCAACTTGGCTAATTATTATTCAAAATGCTACCCTCTGTGACTAAACAAGGTGGTTTAGAAATATCTTTCTACAGTACATTTCAGGAGTTTTGGAATCTCCACTTCCCCTATCCAATCTTTTAAAAGTAAATGAAACATTATGTGTACACAAATATGAAAATGTCATCCCTCGGTCTGGGCTTCTTAATCCTGGGAGTCCACTACTTTGGTGTGGTGTGGTTGTATGAAGATAGACAGACAGACAGACAGATAGATAATAAATGGATAAATAAGGGCAGCTAGGTGACTCAGTGGATAGAACCTCAGCCCTGGATTCAGGAGGACCTGAGTTCAAATCCAGCCTCAGACACATAACACTTACTAGCTATGTGACCCTGGGTAAGTCACTTAACCCCATTGCCTAGCCAAAAAAAAAATAGATGGAAAAATAGATGGGTAGACCAATAGATGGATAAATGGACAGATAACAATATTTCAATGTAATTAGTTTCCTTTGTAATCCTACATATTTCATTTTATGCACTTTAAAATATTTCTGAGAAAGTATCCCTAGGCTTCATCAGACTGCCAAAGGGGTCCATGGCACAAAAAAAAAAATGTTAAAACCCCCTGATCTGTCCTAATTATGGCAGGTTGGGACACATTTTAGTCTGACAAGCTGCTTTCACTGACTTGACATAAATACCATTACAGCACTATTCCACAATAAAATCTAAAAACACAGAATATCCTCAGTGGGATTTTCCCTCTTACTTACAGGGTGGTCTGCATCCAGCTCTGAGCCATACATAAGAACTCGGTGAGAACATTTGTCTAATTCAGCGATCTTCCGGGGAAACCACAATACATCCTCTAGGTCTGTTGGAAACAGAGTGTAAGGTCAAAACTATTAGCTTATCCTTCCTATGCAATATTGACTAGAGAGTAAAAGCATGAGATGCAAAAGTGTCCTTGCCTTCCTCCTCTGTCCAAATATTCTCTGGTGGATTCAGGGTCACAATGGTGGTTTGAAATTTCAGCAACTGAATGAGCTCATTAAATTCTTTCTTACTGCAGTCACAGTCCACGAAGATTTCTACCTCAGAACTTCTCCTGGATTTCCTAGACTCGATGTGCACCATGTTCACGTGCTTTTCCTATGGAAACATAACCAAATGGACTTTTTTAGAAACTGTGTTTCCCTGCTTTTGGTCTTTTTGTCATCACCACCTGGTGCTCAATAGGTTACCTTCTTCAATCAGACACCAACTTAAGAATAAGCTTATTTTCTTACATGTCGCAAAAATGATCCATGGATTGCATTTTTGCTACACTTCAAAAAAATTAATTTATTCTTAGCTTTGGTGAATGAAGAAAGGAAAAAATTGTATACAAACTAGTTTAAGCAACACAACAGTTTTAGTGATGTCAATAGAATGTCAAAACATCCAACTGTTATACTTAAAATAGCCAAAGAATAGGAGTAGTTGTTTGGCATTACATAGACCAAACATTTCATTGTCTAGCTGAATCTTCCCACCTTTCAGCCAGTAATTTTGGTGTCATATAGACATAGTTTCACTCAAGGATTCATTCAAGTGAGTTACTTGGCATATTGCTTGGAATGAAAATTCAGGCATTCTCATAGTCCAAATCTGGAACCGACCTCCATTTTTAGCCTACCCTCCCACTTCTTCCATACAAATCCCATTTTATTGTCAAACTAGACTACTTACTGTTACTCAAACAAGTCTGGAGCCTTCTTGCCTCTGAATTTTGGCTCTTTGCCATTCTCTACTCCTAGAATGCCCTTCCCAGGCCCACCTCTTCCCCCATTACCACCTCTAGGTATTCTCCTTATCCTTCAAGGCCCAACTTAACTATTACCCCTTCCTACTCTTTCCTCATAATTCTAGTTGAAAGATCTCTCCTCTTTCCTGAACTTTTAAAATATTTTCTTCATACTATATATTCCAGTCTATATTCCAGTTACTTGCCCATATATCTTATCCCTAGACTTTAAAAAGGAGAACTACACCCAAGACTACCTTGCACAATCCTCTGATCATATAGTAGGCACTCAAGTATTTGCCAAATGAATGAATATAGAATCACACAACGTTAGATTTGGAAGAGCCCTTGAGTGCATTTATTCCAGGTTCCTCATTTTGTAGATTAAAAAAATTGGGACCCAGAGAGGTTGTGATCACATAGTATTATGATCACGTAGCTAAAAACTGTCAGGACACATACACAGATCTCTTGACTTTGTGCTCTGTGCCCTTTCCACTATACCATTCTGGATGATTGGATTTGGATTTTACTTTTTAAAAAGAATCTAAATTGATTAATAACAATCCTCCACTAAATTCCAACTCCTAGGTCTTATTGTAAAGTGAAATTACCTTGGGCTCTCAAAGGCTGTACATGACGATTAACCTGTTGCCAGGCCCTAGCTGACAGATGAAACTCCATGTTTGACTACTGATGGACCCACCTATATGCCAGCAAGTTTCTGCATACTCAGGAACTGACTTAGTCAGCTACATTTAATCAATGAATGCAAGGATAGCAAATTTCATTCCAATCCAGGTAAACATGGTTAACAAACTTTCCTAATCACAATGACTTTGTAGTCAATAAAGGGGTTGTGCAATCCAGACCACTCATTGATTGACTGTCCCTAAGGTCTCCTTCCTACTCCATTCAGTCCCTGTGAATCTATTCAGCAACAACAGTCAGTTATAAGAGCAGAGGTGTGGGCTCTTGATCAAAGTATTCACCCCATAGTATGCCCAAGCCACCACTTGAGTGCCAGTGGTAGAACTAGTGGGCTGGGGAGCCTCATGTTTGCATGCCTGTAAGAAACTGCCTGACTCATGAGCCTTTGAGTACTTATGTTATTTATTATATCTCTTCACCCATGACCTCCTCTTATATACCAAATAGAGCATAAACTACGATAGGTTCCACCAAGCTAAAAGGGCTTTGAGAAAGGGCTTAGTGACAGATAACCCATCCATCATCTGAGGATGAATGTAGCTACATGTGGAAAGACTCATCCCCAAAAGATGGACCACCAGGTGCCAGGTGATTCATTTGAAGGGCTATAGCAATTCAACTAAGGTGTGAAGAAGTTACAATCTATGTTAGTGAAGGGAATACTCAAGCACGGACTCTTAAAATAAATTAATAATAATAGTAATATATCACATTACTATAGAGATTTACTGTCTTCGAGGTGATTTCATATCAATTATCTTACTTGATCCTCACAATATTCCTGTAAGATAGGAAAGACCCATATTTTATTTCCATTTTATAGATGAGAATACTAGGTCTCAGAGAGTTTAAGTGATTTTCCCAAAGTTCTAGAGCTGATAAAGAGCAGGAATTAAACTACAGTTATCCCTTGCACATCACAACTTTCCCCATCGTGGTTTTGAAATATCATGGGTCAGCATAAGAAATTAAATGGAAATTTTGAGGGAGTTTTGCGGAAGCTATAGATGGCACGCAAAGGCCAGCAGATGGCACAGAAAAAGTTTAGAAACTCAGAAATGCATAAAACATATGCATAGTATTGTATAATATCAACATATTTTATATTTTAATATTATCATAATTCAGACTTCTTCTCTGGTATGAAGGTATGACCAAAAATTTTATATAGACTTTCCATGCTGCACTTCTAACCCCCATGATATGGAAGGGATAGTTGTAGAATTCAGGTCTTCTGAATCTTGTCCCAAACCTATCTTGTCCACATTCTCTGAGTGAACTAGATCGGGCATTGGACATTTTTTTTAAAATCCCTGTTTTTATCCTGGGGGGCAAAGTGGACTTGTAAATCACAATTATCTATAAATAATAATTGTTTGTAATAGAAGAATTGGTCATTATTTATTTGTTTAATTTGATCAATGTAGCTAGCCAAGCAGGAGAGTTTATTTTTTTAGATGCTGATATGTATGTATTCCCACAGAATATCGATATAGCAGGACCTATCCTAGCCTCATCCCAACCCTTGTTCCTTATCATGTTCTAGGTATGACCTTGGAAATAAGGTCATTGTATTATTGTATCATTAAGCATGTTATTATAGTATTCCCAACATGAAAAGCTGCCAAGTAATTCCTCTATCTTCTTACTACATATTCAAGACCTTATTACAAATAAGGTTCATAATGTCAATATGACATCAATTTATGAAATCCTAGAATCTCAGAGTTAAAAGAGAATTTTAAAAGTCAGCTGGTCCAACCTAAACATTGCACAGAAGGAATCATATGGAAACCAGGGTGGGATTTGAAGACCTTAACGTCAAAGCTATTCAAGAAATTGCCTGCTCCGGGTTGCTAAACTGGTGCTTACTCTTAACTCAGTCTTTTAGGGTTATTATGGTAGATTGCATAATGGCGTTGTTGTTTGTCCTTCATTCTCAAAGAGGATCATGACATCAGGAAGGTGACGGCATGACTTGCAAGTGAATAGGATTTAAGTGAGTGAGGGCTATGCAAAGTCACCAACCTCACTCTCTCCTCTGGAATCATTTGGGTCCAGTGACGAAATATAGATCAGGACTACTGGAGATGGCCCTGAATAATGGTGTAGCTCCTGAGTGTATACACCAAACCTCCCCATGTCAGATTTGTCTCCCCAAGTCACAATAGCAGATTTTATGTGAGTTCTGCCAGTGGAATGCATCAACCGAGATAGCCATGTGGCATTTTCTAGCAGGTTCTCATTTGCAGTCATCTAAATCATATCTTTCCTACTCAACTAAGGAATTCATTTGGCCTTGAATCCATCTTATCTCTGACACTAATTATTCCTGACCATCTACAAAATGTGTGTAAATCAAATGATTTTAAAAGTCCAATGAAGCCTTTTTATTTAAAGGAATACTATTGGGAATCTTTCCTAAAAGTAAAGAATAGTTTTGTAAAGTTCATAGGATTATAGGATTTTACCCTGTAAGAGAATTGAAAAATCTTTTAGGTCACCCTATCCCTTCATTTTATAGATGAAGAAACTGAGGACAATGTAAAGAGCTCTGGATTGAGAGTCAGAGGACCTAAATTCAAATCACACATTTATCACTTATTACCTATGTGACCTTAGACAAATCTCTTCATCTTTTTGGCCATCCATTCTTCATGGTCACAAAAAAAAAAACAAATAACTTCCTGAAGTGTATGCAGTTAGTAAGTAGCAGAACCCAGAACTGAACCCAGGTCTTCTATCTCCAAGTTCATTGCTCTTTCTGCAACATCAAGCTACGAATAATAATCATACACACCCTATCTATACTTTGTGCAAATCTCCATTTTCCATACATCAGGATTGCTTAAAGAGAGACACCTCTCTGTCTCCTTTAATTACTAACATTTCTACCTGGTAATGGGGTTATATCATTCCCCAAAGATTGTTTGGATTAAAAAAGCATATTTCATATGATCTTGTTTATTCTGTTGTTTAGATGATATATGCTACTTGTGGAGCTTCATAAAGTTCTATTTTTTGAACATTCCAATATCCATAATTATACCATCCCCAGAAATTGACTCACTGCATTGAATCATGTTTCCCAACAGATTACAGTTGTATAACAATGAACATGGCCATGTCAGGGGGTTTTACACATACCTGAAAGAGCCTTAAGGCTTTTACCAATTCACCAACTTCATTTTTCAAAGAAAACACAACTGCAGTCTTTCCACTTTCCCCAGCAGCTTCCTTCTTGCCACTACCTTTGTTGCCTTTCTTATCATCATTTGCTCTGTTCAGCTATAAGGAAGAAGGGACAGAAAATTACAATCAGTCATCGGATGTTTGAGCTGACAGGTACCGTACTGTTCAGAGATTACTCACTAAATAGTATCTTGCATTTACATAGCACTTTAAAGTCTGCAAAGCACTTTACACATGTTATCTCGTTTGATCTTTACAATAACCTTATCATTCTCCTTTTTTAAAGATGAGAAAACTGGAGGGGAGAGAGATTAAATGTCTTGCCCAGAGACACATAGGTATTGTGTGAGGAAGAATTAGAACTCAAGCCTTCCTGACTCCAAATTCAGCAATCTATCTTCTATGCCAACAAGCATTTATTAAGCACTCACTACATTCCAAGCACTGTGCTAAGTGTTGGTGATACAAAGACAAAAATGAAACTGTGCTTATTCTCAAGGAGTTTATGTTCATCTAATCCAACCCTCTCTCTTCCTTCCCAATTTTACAGATCAGGAAACTGAGGCTCAGAGAGGCAAAATGTAAGCACAAACATAGAGTTAACTAGTGACAAAGATAGGACCTACACTTAGGACTATCAATTCCCAATTTAATGATCTTTCCATCAGACTATGCTGTAGGTTATGAATAAATTAAGCTTCCCATAAATGAATTTATCAGAGTCTACACTAGTACTGAAAGACAACTTTAACATGAGCAGAGCAATCAAACTCTGTCAAGATATTCTAGATACAGTTGAATTGCTCAGAACTGAAAATCAGAAATGTGACAGTAGACAATTGTGACTGCTTTCAGTCTATCAGCTAGTGATTCAAATTAAAAACAAGTGTTTGGATCCACTCTATCATAAAAAAAAAATCTAATTGTCAAGAAGCATTAAGATTTTTCATTAGCTAATGTGTTGATTTCTTCCCTTGGCTGTATTTCTTTATTACAAGGGAAAGACCCCCCAGGGTGGGGAGGGGACAGAAGAGTAATTGGAAATGAACAATGATGTAAAACATAAAATGAAAGAGCATCAATAAAACATTTAAGAAGGGAAGGGAAAAAAGAATTACTAATTAGTAATCTCTGCCTTTAGGTTTTCTTTCCAGCTTGTATCTTGCATTGAAGTATATCTCATTCAATGATCATAAAATTTTATATGACATTTTACATTTACAAAGCATTTCACATTTATTCCCCCCCAAAAAAATACTGAGTAGACATTACAAGTATCATTATACCCATTTTATAAATGAGGAATGTGAGTTTTAGAGAAGTTATTATGTGATGCAAGTCAATAAATTCCACAATATATTAAGCACCTACTATTTGCAGGACAAAGTTGGGTCACAGACCCTGCTCTATAGGATCTTTGGATCTTAAGGGAGTAGAAAAAAGGAGGAAGATAATTACACAAACAACTCTTAATACAAGGGAGAATGAGACAGGTGCATTGGAGAAGTGTTGAGTGAAGGTAGTTGTTTCACCTGAGGGCAAGGAGGAATCATAGAAGCCATCATGAAGGTACCACCTGAAATGGAGCTTGAAAGAGATTAGGGACTTCAATGGACAAAAATAGAGTGTGTGGGTCAGGATGAGGGCAAAGCAAAGAGATGGAAGATGGCAGGATGAGAACAGAGGACAGAGAATGATCCAATTCAGTTGACATGTAGGGTACATGAAGTATCAGCTAAATCTAAAAAGATAATTTGGAGCCAGATTGTACAAGGTATTGAATGCCAGAATAAGTAGTTTATATTCCATCAGATAGACAATGAAGGGTTACAGATGGTTTTCCAATAGAGGAGTGATGCAATCAGAGAAGTACATTAGTCGCTTTGAGAAGGATGGATTAGAGAGGGGAAAGCCTAGAGGCAGAAAGATCAGTAAGGAGGCCCTTAGAATAATCTGGGTAAGAAGAGATGAGAGCTTGAATTAGGGTGGTTTGAGTGAGAATAGAGAGAAGGAAATGGATTTGAGAGATATGCTGGAACTGAAGGTCACAGAAGAAACCAAAATGAATCAAGTCAAAGGTACAGGTTAGTTTCAGCAAAGTTTCAGCTTCAGGGAAGCTCTCATCTTCTGAGAGCAAAGGGAAGGAGAACGGTATGAGCAAGGATTCTGATAGGTTAAGAGGAGTGAACAGGAGAGTTAAGAGAAATTGTGCCTGGTGACTTTAATTGGCTAAGTAGGAGGCAACAGTGAGGATGAAGAGTCTGGTGCTTGAAGAGAAGTGAAAAGGTGTGAAAGGGCCACAAAAATATTATTAAGAGTCAAAATATGTTATTAAGAGTCATTTAATTTTTCAACTTTTTTCTTTGTTTCCTTCCCTAGCCAACCTCAGCAGAATACCTTGCATCTCTATCTATAGGAATAGGGAAGGGATCTATTATTTCATTGTTACGGGGAATTTCCCTCTACCAATGCAGATTGGTAACTGCTGTGTAATTTATAGTCTTAGAGAGTTGCCTGGGGCACTCAGAGGTTAAGTGACTTGCCTAGGATCACATGAACAGTATATGTCAGGGTTGGAACTTGAATTCATCTTACTTCTTGGCTCTGTGACCAGTTCTCTATATGTTATGCCACACTGCTCCTGTTCTATCTATAGTAGTTGCTTAACAAATATTATTGAATTGACCAAAGGATTTCCCAGTTGAAGACTTAAACCCAGGTCTTCTGACATCAAGCCCAGTCCTCTTTCCACTGCTACAACACAGTGCATGAATTAAACCTGTTACCAAAGCAAATTCAAAAGGATCGAAGATTCATTATTCCTATTTTTTTTATTTTTTCCAACATAACTTGAAAGTAAATAACTATTTTGCATTCTTCTATCTGACTACGCATGTGCCTAAATCAATAAAACTGCCATTTGTAACTTCTGACTCTCTAATTTTATGCTGTCAATGGAGATCTAATTGCTACAATGCTGGCAGAGAATATATCATCCGGGCCCACCTAAATCGTGTCAGTAGATAACAATTGAAATGAAGGTTAAAATCCAGACATGAAAAAACTAGATAACTAATCCTCATGAGGAAATAGAGGCATCTCTGGAACTGAAAGGTATTAAAACTTCATTAGCCATGCAAGATACTACAGTATGTGATTAAGTAATGACTAGTAGCTGGAATTTGTTAATGATAACAATGACAGATTCTTAGGAGTCAGAGTACTGTCAGAAATGAGGAGAACATGAGGGTATAAAATAACTTGCAAATTGCCTTTGACAGATGATGTAAAGTTATTGTAAAATTATGAACTGATGGTGCTCTCATCCAAATGCATAGTGTTATGCAATATACTCACTAAGCTCTGACAATTAGGCAAGGAGAGTGCTTCCCCCTCTGCAAATGAAGATATTAAAACATTTACAACATTCCCCTGCATTTTTGTAGGAACTAAGAAATGTGTCTGTGGTGGGGAATTGAGCAAAAGATAATTTGCTGTTCTCTTCTTCTGTCTCCCCTCTTTTTTTATTTTCATATTAACATTCCATCACAAGTCATTCATACTCAGTTTTTTAATCAAAAATTTGTAGAAAAAAACAAATTTTGACTTCATTATTTATGATTTCACAGACTTAGAAATGTATGTTGACTTCTGTGTTTAATAGTGATAGTCTCTTTAAAGCTATTTTGAACTACAATTTCCTATTACTTTCAACATCTGTTTCCTCACCATATTAAAAACAATCCTAAATATTTAAGCTTCAGTTTGGACATGAAGAGACTATAATTTTGTTTCTGTATTTTCTAAATTTAGTATTTCATTCTTACTTTAGAAATTCTTGATGTACTTGCTGGCTCATTTAAAATGCCTATATATTATTAAAATGCAAGGAAAATCATTTACATTTATTTAGAATTTTTAAAAATTGATTTAAATAGTTCTACAAAACAACATAATTACAATGGTAAAATTTCCTTGCATTATCAACTCATTTAGTAGTAATAATGTGTAAGTATAATAAATCTCTGGCTTATGCACAGAGCTAAGATATTCAAACAGACTTTTTTTCTTCCCACAGAATTAGAAACAGTTGATAAGCTCTGCTATTTCAATAATGAAATATCATTCAATATTTTTATTGCATGAAGACCTGGATACATTTTCTTTCACTGCAATTTTCATCTCAAATTAGGACCTAAAAACAACTCTATTCCTTTTTAAATTTTAAACAACTTTAAAACTAAACTGAGGAAAGGAAAGTGCTTTCAAAATGGAACCAATCTTTTTCTTTCCAGTTTTCAAGAAGTTCTAGATCCAGCAATGATTACTGAAGATGATTTTGAAAGATTAAAATGGAAAACAATAATTATTGACTTTAAAATTGGAAAGGACACATGGAGGAAAAAGCAATATACTGGTGAAAGTCCACAAAATCTAACTCTCCCCTGTTCTCCTCATCAAAGATATCCTTCCTAAATCCAATACACATTTTCCTACTCTAAAGTAAGAAAAATTTCCTTACAACTTCTTTTTCTCACTTGCTATAACTTTTTTTAATACTTTCCAAATAACTTTCTAAGAAGGAATCTAGAAAGACGTTAAGATATGTTACTTTATTAAATTGGTGAGTGCTTTGAATTCATTACAGGAGGATGCTTTAAGGTGTGTGTGTGTGTGTGTGTGTGTGTGTGTGTGTGTGTGGTGTGCAAGTTTACTAATCCACAGATAGATATTGTTGAGAACAAGACAGTCACCAGTGTAAGAAACTTTCTCTCAAAAGTGCCAGTCCCTGGGTACTCACTGTTAAGCTGCTGGATAGCTGATGCTCTTCAGGCACTGCTGAATCCAAAGAGAGACCCCTCCTTGCCCAGTATTTGCTGGAAAACATCATCATGGCTGGCTGCATGGGGAAATCTGTGTAGTTTCCTTTCTCTACAGCAGGGGGAACCAGCGGACTGGTGGCTAAGGCTGAGTCCTCAGCTCCAGCTGGGAAGTAGAAGAAAGAATACAAGAGAAGCTAGGGAGGATGAGCAGGCTGCTCAGGGCGCTGTCCAGAGTTTGGGTACTGAAAAGGAGCAATGAAGCTTCTCTTCTCCCTGCGCTCTTTATATGCGTAACTGGGAACTGATGAAAGGCTGATTAGACAGAGACTCATTTCTGGCTGAGATGGCTACAGCCAGATTAAAGACCTGCGCCTTTAGTTTGTCTCCAACATGGAGTTTTTTTATTTCACAGTGACCTTTTCACACATATTGGGGAAACAACACGCAAGGGAGCTTTCTTTGTACAAGAAAACAACTTGGCCTCCTCATTTCTCTTCTCAAAGAATATTTGAATCCCTTAAGCCATCATATTCCATTTTTTCACACTTGAACATTTTTTCTGCCTTAACTGTCTTTTATTATTTTAGTGTGATAGCTGTCATGATAACATACACTCTTTCCCAGTAAAGATAATAACTGAATGCTCATTGATATAAATACAAGGCAGTGTTTTTCATGTTCCATACAGGGTAGCTTTATTGCAGAAAAATTGGAAGATTTAATTTAGCTACAGGTCAGGTACTATAAACATGTTAAGTTTAAGGATTCCTCTAGATGCTGGGGAAGAGGAAGGAATGTAAAATGTGAAAGTACCCACATTCAATTATCAATAATAATAATAATGCTCTCATAACTATATAGTACATCAATTTTACACACTTTTCCCCACAACAACCTTGTAAGATACATAGTGCAAGTGTTGTTATTTACATTTGATAACTAAAAGAAATGAAGTTCACAAAGATTAATTGATTTGCCCATGTCTTTCAACTAATAAATAGAAGAGTCAGTCTTTGGATTCAAAGTCAATAACTCTTTCTATTATATTATTATTACTACTATTATCTGACATGTATATAGTGCTTCAAGGTTGGCAAAGGGAAGGAAGAAAAAGAAATAAGCATTTATTAAGCACCTACTATGTGCCAGGCATTGTGCTAAGCACTTTACAAATGTTGTTTTATTTAATCCTCATGACAACCAGGGGAGGTAGTACTATTATTATTCCCTTTTTACAATCAAAGAAACTGAGGAAAGCAGGCTAATTGACCTACTTAGGGTCACACAGCTAGCAAGTACCTGAAGGTGGGTTTGAACTCAGGTTTTCCTGACTCCAGGCCCAGTACTCTATCATCTAGCTGCCTGGGTACAGTGGATAGAATGTAGTACTTTACATACCTAACTCATGTGATTCTTTTAAAAAACCCTCTAAGTGCTAGTTATTATCAATATTTTATAGGAGAAGGGGGTAATCAAAGATGTAAATGAAAAATGTTGAGAAAACAAGTTGCTTTGCTCACAGTCTTGGTCATGGCACCATCTTTGATGCTGTAACTTGGCATTTTGAGTTACACTAGCTAGGCACAATCCTCTTCCTCCCTACATTCCATTCCATTCTCACTCTAAAAGCCCAGCTAATAGCTTGGAAAGTAACAATCCTGTTAAGCTCTAACTCACAAAGAGTAGAATAGGACTGATAGTTTCATTATTGTGGATATTCTACATTTACCAAGGTGGCTTAAGATTACATAAACTCTTTGACAGATTCATCAGCTTGTTGATTCTCATTGAGTTTGCAATTAACTAAAACCCTTCAATCATTTTTCATGTGTTGCTTTTAAGTCAAGTGTCCCCTATCCTTTACTTGTGAAGCTGATTGTTTGAATTTAAATGCAGAGGTTTACATTTATACCTTTTCAATGTCATCTGTTTTACTTAAGTTCATTGTTTCCAACTGCCAAGCCCTTTTTGAATCTTGATTCTGTCATCTAACATATCTATCCCTTCCACCTTTATGTCATCTGAAAATCTGAAACATTTTCTGTATCTTCATTCAAACCATTAAAATGTTGACCATGATAGAGCCAAGTAGAGGGTCTTCTGGCATGGCACTAGGAGATACCTCCAGGTTGACATCCTTATTTATCAAAACTTTGGGTACAGTTGTTTCAACAATTCTGCAGATTCACCTCACAATACTATCATTCAGACCACATTTCTCCATTTTTTCTGTAAATATATAACAAGAGACTTTGTTAAATGCCTTATTGCAATTAAGATATGTTATGTATTCCTTTACGTATTACATATGTATTCCTTTATGAATTGACATGGGTAAAGTAACCCTATCAGAAAAGAAATTGAAGGTAGTTTTACACAGCAGTGCTAGCTCCTAGTCCCCATTTTATTTTCTAAGTACTCAAACCAACTTTGTATACATAATTTATATAAAAAGCAATCTATCCTGACCCTTAAATAGAAAACACTAAATGGAAAAAAACTTTAAGACAACTGGGTGGTACAGTAGATAGAGAACGAGACTTGGAGTCAGAAAGACTTGAGTTCAAATCTAGCCTCAGACACTTACTAACTGTGATACTGGGAGTTTTTTCAGCTGTAAATGGGGATAATAATGCCACTTACCTTACAGGGTTTTTGTGAGGACTAAATGAGATAATATGTGTAAAGGGCTTAGCACAGTTCTAGGTGCATAGCAGGTACTACATAAATGCTAATTATTATTAGTATTATTATTATTATTATTATTACATGAAGGCAAAAAGTGGTGAGGAACAAGGGGTAATAGGTTCATTTGACGGAGTCAGCACCTCTAGTTCAGGGGTTATTTACCTGGCGTATGTGAACTGATTTTAAGATATTTTGATCATTGTATTTTAATATAATAACTGGTTACTTTTGTAATTGTAAGAATTTGATTTCATGCATTTAAAAATATTATTCTGAAAAAGGATCCATAGACTTCACCAGACTGCCAGAGGGATCCATGACATAAAAAGAGGTTAAGAACCCCTGGTTTGGTTGCAAATGCTCCTACCTTTTGATCAATTAATCAACCAATTTACAAGTATCTATAGTGCCTGCTACGCACTGGCACTGTATCTTACAGGATTACTCTGAAAATAATCTTCATATATAGATGGTCATTATTTGTGATATCAAGAATGAAGTTGTATAAATAAGAGAACAATTTTTAAACCACATTATATAGTTTAATCAAAACTATCTTTTTCTTCCTAGCTATTGTTTACTGCTATAGGACTAGAGAACATTTTTAAAAGTAAAGGCAAGACCATGACCCATTCATGCAAAGCCAGTCTCTTTTTAATAATTCAGAAATTGACATTTTGAAATAAGTTGCAAACCAAAATGAAAAAAGGATGGGACTGGATTCCACAGTAATTCTTTGACTACATCACACCAAACATCTAATCAACACAGTCTAAAATCAAGTCAAATTGGTTCATTTGGTGCCACAATTTGAAGTGACTGAATTGATCCGATGTTGAGACACAACTACAGACACTACTGCCTGTGATTTGTTCCCTGATAAAATAGTCACTTACTTTCAAATAATCATTCAAGTAAGCATTGCTTATTACTGCAATTTGCCCGAAATCTCCCATTCCTTACTCGTTCTTAGTCCATAAATGTGACGCCCATTTCAATTCACTTCAATTCAGTGAGCATTTATTAAGAGCTTCCAGGCACTGAGCTAAGAACTGGGAAAACAAATACAAGCAAAAGAAAGACAGTCCCTGTCTTCAATGTGCTCACATTCTAATGGGGGAAAACAATAAAACTTAAAAGCCAGGGGTAGGACATGGGATAATGGTGGGGGCAAAGGTCCAAAGGGTCAGGACTGGGACCTGGAGAGTAAAAAAGGATTTACCATGGCTAGCCTGGGAACTTCCTTTAAAATGGACAATCTGGGAGGAACTAACCAATCAGAGGAAAGGATTGTAGAGGTGGAAATATCTTCCAGGGTTAGAAGGTTGCTGGGAAATGATGGAAAAAGAAGTCCTGAGAGTCAGAAGCAGAGTCCCAAGAGGAATAAAGACATTTAAGTTGTGATAAATTATTGTTGTTGTCACTTGTCCATTTTATTTTCTGAACCTGTACGTACACTTCAGTTCATCTATAAAACGAGGATAAGAATAGCACCTACCTAACAGGGTTATTTATTGTGAGGATCAAATGAGATAATGTATGCGACAGGCTATGAAAAATTTATATCATTAGGTAAAGATGAGCTACTATTATTTTTGTGAGAACAAGTACTACATAAATATTCTCTATTATAATTAGCTGTCAGTAATATGTATTTAAGTGGAAGCTGCTTCAGAAACCATCAACATATCTTACACATGGCATTATATTAATATGTATAGTTCTCCACTGCAATTTAAAAGATAGGATCAACAGCCAAGCAATTTATGGTTTACCTGAAGAGGATGAAATTAAGCTAAAGGATAGGATAAGTGACTAATTCAGGGTCACGCAGTGAATTGGGAACAAACTGAGACCAGAACCCCAAGTTACATATCAAAATTAAAATTATATTGTTCAGCAATGCCATGACCAACCGTGATTCCAGAAGACCCATGATAAAGCATGCTATATACCTCCTGACAGAGAAGTCATGATTGGGACATTTTTTTTGGATGTGGCCAACGTGAGAAATTTGTTTTGCTTGACTAATGCATATTTGTTACAAGGGATTTGGTTTTCTTCCTTTTTTCCAATGGAGAGAGGAAGGAGAGAAATGTATCTTTGTCATTTGAAAAACAAAATTAAAATTTCTAAAGAGTATATTGATCAGGCTAGAGACCTGATTACAAATAAGTGAAAACAACAAGTCATTCCAGGGCTATATGTACAGGGCCAGAAGTGCTTCAAGAAGATCAGACAAAATGCACAACTATGCAATAAGGAGATATTGTGCATAATTGTGTCCATGTGGAGGTAATCAATGCAGTTACTCCAATACTTCAGAGAATTATGATTTTATCAATGTCTACTCCCATAAATCACAACTCCTTTATAACTCAGTAGATGGCCTTCA